GCTGCCCGGCGGGAAGGCCTTTCCGGACCCCGTGAGTCAGAGGCTTCCGGCTGGGGAGACGCTTGGTTTCGCTCTGTGGGGCCGTTTTGTTTCTAGGCTGGGTGCAGCAGATATGCGCACTGCGCTTAAGAGCAAAATAGTAGCTGAACGCTCGATAGATCCCGTTTTTCCTCAGTATGTACGAATGGCACCTGTGGCAAGGAGCCCAGCACGGAGAGGTGATGATTCACACGTCTTCCACGAGGGACACCTACAGTCATTCTGATCTGGTGGTAATAAAAGCAAAAGAAAAAAAAATCGCACTAAGATCTAAGACCTTGCCTTTTTTACAGTTGAAAGCAGATTGGTACCTTAAAACTGCAACAGGATGCAGTTGTAACTGTGGCTTTTTTTTGTGCAATGCAACTATTGGCAAACAAATACATGGTATCTGTTCAGGAGAAATGAAATAATGTTTCAGAGTTTCATCTTTGGGTGGTTTTCTTAATACCTCTCTGCTATTTTTTTTTTCTTTGTTTCAGGGTAACCAACCAAAGAAGTTATGAATATCATCTGTGGTCTAAAGTTGCCGGGCAGGAACTGTATTTTCTTTCATTTGGCTTCTTTGACCAAGCATGGGAAGTGCAATAATCTCTATAGGTTTTATGCAGGATATTGCCGGACTCAAGTCAGTTGTACACAACATAGGTGCCAAAGGCTGGATTTGAGTGGAAATGGTAGAAACTGTTTTTTGACTGGAAGCCCTGACTCCTGTAGAAACTTCAGCAGTAGAGGACTGAGGTGTCTTTTGAACGTCCCAAATACAGAAGTATACAAGAATGCACACCACAGTTCAGGAAGGCTTTGCTTCCAGTCTTCTCTGCCATTGGGAGAGAAGATCACATCCCTTCAGATCAGTTCTGTAGGACAACTCCTACATAATTTTTCTGCTTGGAACATTCAGATCATCAGGTCTTTTCATACAACACCGTCAGTTCAGGCTGCACCAGTTCCTCTTTTCTGGATTATTGTTAAGCCAGCTCAGAAATTATTTGCTATCATTCTTGGCAGGTAAAATACTATCTTACTTCCTCTCTAAATCTAAGGCCCAGTATGCAAAGATGTGTGCATGAGTTTGTGGAGAATGGTACCTGTATTTGTAGTATTTTCATTTTAATATCTGTGCAAAATTTTGTAGGACTGGGGCCTAGACTTACAGTTTGCTCAACAAGAAGTTGTTTCCATTGTCAGAGGTGTTAGATGTGTCTTTTGCTCTTCTCATTGTCATTTACATGTGGTAGAGGGAGATGAACCAAGACACTAAGGGGCATTTTCTTCTGTGAGAGGGAAGAAATGGAGTGGCGTAGAAGCCAATTAGAGTATAACCTTCCATAAGCTCATATATGAGGTGAGACTAGTACAGAATACAGACACTAACAAATTGCTTTTTAACTATGTTCTAAGTTGCCACTGTTTGTATCTTACAGGAGCATAAGAAATTGGTGGAAGGCGCTTCCTCCTAATAAACGGGAACTTTTTAAAGAAAGTGCAAGGAAAAATAAATGGAAGATACTCCTGGGTGTTAGTAGCTTAGGAGTTTTATTTGTCGTGTTTTATTTTACTCACTTGGAGGAGACACCCATCACTGGGCGTGCTCGACTGTTGGTGTTTGGAAAAGAGCATTTTAGGGAACTGTCACAGATGGAATATGATATGGTAAGATTTAAAAAAACTCAAAACATTATAAAACAGTTAGTGCTTTTTTTTAGTGATGAGATAGTCCAATTAATGAGATGGGCAAACAGACCTAGTGGTGTCCTAGTAAGTTTTGAATTTCATGCTCAGAACCCTGCAGAGTACCCCCATCAGTTACCTTCTGCTCTTGTCCCTATCCTTTTTAAGAGTTCCCTTTCCATAAGCAAACCATTCAGGGACACACAATGATTAAAGAACACATTATATGTATGTAGCAAACATTTCTGACTGTGTAACTGTGATATAACAAGAAATACAGAAACATGGTAGAAGCAATAAAAGCGCAGATAATAGGTACATGCTCAGATTTCTCTTTTTCTGTGCTGATTTGAGCATTTTGAGTACTTGTTTAAGGTCCTCTCTTCTAAGCTGTCAGTTTGTAAGGTTGTACTCTCCACCTGCATTCAATTCTACTTCTTTTATTTTTTTTTTCATTGGATCAGCTCATTTTTCTTTAATTGCTTTTAAACTGTCTATTGCACTAATTTCTGTAACTTTGAGTTCTGTGACTTTCTGTTCTAAAGCTAGTGAAACTTGGTCATTCATATACAAATATCACTGTATTCCTGTCTGACAGAGAATGTGAGATAAGAACGGAGCTAGTACAAGTATATATTCAAATTACATCTTTTATATAAATTTGTCCACCTTATAATTTACAACAGAAATGTACAGATACAGAAAAATTATAAATTCAAATGGAAATTCAGGAAGGTATAGAAAGGTTTGCCAAATTGTGATGCCAACTTAACTGTGGAAAACAGCAGATCCAGGAGGTTGTAGTACCAATTTTATACTGTCTTATTTTGTTCTGTGGTGAATTTACTTCCTTTTAAGTTTATTAATCCTTAACTTGTGGGTCTGAAAGCGTGAACTCTAATATATTGGCTTTGGCTATATGAAAGAAAAATGTATTAAAACTTAGTGGCTACACACAACTTAGTTAAATCTAAATTGTTTACCAGTTATTCATTTACTGTGTCTTTGTTCTGCATGGCAATCAATGATTTATTTTTTTTTTTTCAGTGGATGGAGGAATTCAAAAGTAAAATGTTACCTGAGACAGATGCACGCTATCAGGTTGTGGAGAGGGTTGTTGGTCATTTATCTGAAAGCAATAAGGACATCCCACAGGTCTCGGTGCTCAAGTGGGTTATCCATGTGGTAGATGAACCAGGTGTAAATGCTTTTGTGCTTCCAGTAAGTTGAACCCAATACAAAAATTATTAGTAATATTGAAACAGCATTTTATTCATGTGTCTTCTACTAATTTTCACTCTCTTTTTGGTCATAGAATGGCCAAGTGTTTGTTTTCACTGGATTGCTAAATGCAGTTTCTGACATTCATCAGCTGTCTTTCATTTTGGGACACGAAATAGCGCATGCTGTGCTGGAACATGCAGTAAGTATTTAAAGAAAACTGTCTAAAATTCTTAAATGAATTCTAATCACTTTAATTAAGATTTTTGCTATCACTATCAACCAAAGTTTCAGTGTTACTCTTTCTAATTAACGACAAATTGAGTTTGAAATGAGAGTATTCTAATACAGTATATCCTCATGTAGTGTCTGCCAATGCTTTTTTTGTAACTGTATGGACGGATTATTGCTCACTATTAACAGTCATTTAGAACTTGGAATGGAGACGCCTCTCCTTCTGTAGTGCAGACATAAAGAACTAGAGGCACTCAGGAACTCACTTTGTTACTCTTAGACTCGTTAATATCTACAGAAGTGGATATACTTTAATAAATTATTCTCAGTTACATGGTATTTTTCTTACAGTAGCAGACAGTTTTAGAATGCCAAACTCCAGAACGGCTGGAGCTTGGTTCTGCATTTACAGAGGATTGCTTTCACAGACTTAATTTTTCCATATCCTGACATGGATGTGTTGAAATTGGTAGTTCTTTGCCATTTGAACAGAATGGATGTGATAATTTTGTTGTGCTTTGTAGGTACAACTATGAAAAAAGAGGATGATAAGGAAATATGTCTCATACTGTTCTAGATTGGCATGATTTGCCAGAAAGTGCTGGTTTGCTTCCAAATTGATTTCTTTCTGTGTATGTCATTTTAAAAAATAGTATTCATTACCTACCCATCAGTTTGAGAAGACTTAATGAGAAGCTTGTAAACATAAAGACCCTGCTAAAATTGCAAAGCTAATCTGGAAATGGGTAAATACATTTTAAAGGCAGTGGAAAAACAGAATTGCTTTAACTGCATCTTGCATGATTTTGGATAAACGACAGTTCAGATCATGGTTTCTTGGGCTCAGTTGAGCCAACTAACTTGTTAAACTTTAAGAAAAATATTTCTAATAATAAAAAGAACTTAACTTGTTTGTATGGAACCTGTGTCACCCAACTGGCATAGAGAAAAAAGTATTGCATGATCTGGCTTGTAAGTGCTCAGATCAATTTGTTGCATGTCAAATACAGCTCTGAAAACAGAACAATTTAAATTTATTTCTTCAGGTTCTCTTAGTTTTCTGAAATTAAAGGAATGTAACAGAAAATAAAGAATAAATATATTATGCCTAGTGTCCCCTTATCCCATTAGTGTTCCTGTCTAAAAGATGTCTATCTCTTCTCAGATTAATGTAAAGGATGGTCTTCTAGGTATTTTTGTAGATTTTTCGTTCCAGCCTAGGTGTTTCATGGCCTTTTTACTGAAGAACTCTGTCTGCACGCTGCCATTATCTTTTCTGAAGCTTTGAATCTCTGAAATTGGGATATAGCCAAAATGTGTTTGTTCCAGATGTATTTATGCAGTTGCTGTGGATTCTAGACTGAAAGTACCTTATATCCAACTGGATTTTTTTGTGCAAGCAGGCAAGCTTATGCTTGCCCTGTTCATGCGGCTGAACAGAAAAAAAAATTAGTGATTTTTACAGTGTTTCCAAATTCCATTATGTTCTAAAGAAGCATCAGACAGTAAGGAATGAAAATGGGACAATTTCTGTTTGCAGGCAGAGAAAGCCAGCCTCGTTCACTTCTTGGATTTTCTATCACTCATCTTTCTCACTATGATTTGGGCCATCTGTCCCCGTGATAGTTTGGCAGTTGTTGGCCAGTGGATTCAGAGCAAGTTACAGGAGGTAAGACTGACGTTTCGTATTACTCTTCCTGACTTCATGGAAAAACATTTTTAATCTTGGGGACATAGTATCACTAAATAATATGTTTGGGGGAAAACAACAAGAGGAGAAATACTATAAAAAAAATTAATATTTGAGTATGGTTTTGAATGAAATATATTTTTATAAATCTGCATCTGCTTTAGTTGATATATATCTTCATTTGTCATCTTGAAGAATTTAGATCTCCCCAAGTGATTCGATTTAGCTGAACAGGCTCCGAGTACCTGCCTGCCAATTGTTAGATGATTGTCTTTTAGAAATGTAGCTCACTTTTTAAAGTTGTGTATGTTGAAATGCCACATTTTTAAACTGTCTTAAGTTGTTAAATTGTTTCTAAACCAAATAAAATATATGGAATTCTTTAAATACATTGTTAGTGGTAAGAATGGATTTCCAGGATAAGAAAATTGAGAATCTAACCATTTTTTTAAAATATAAACCATACTATAATAAAACTTACTGAAATAGTCTTTTCAGACAGCATATATTCCAATAAAGTAAAATTCAGTGTCTTTGTGGTGCTAGTTTTCTTCAGCGGTCTAATTTACTCTCTGCCTCCAGACAGTTACTGATCCATTTCTTTTTAAAAAAGTGGGGGTTTTAAATAAATTTTGCTAACATCATAAAACTTGAATCTGAATTTAAGTGAAAGAGCTCTTTGGTTTCTTTGACTTCTCTCGATGCTTTTCCTGAGATTTCTCCTGGTTCCTCAAAAGCATAAAATTAAACATAACCAATCTGTTTTGTTAGTTCTTATGCTAATGGGTAGATGTGTGGATTTTGAATATAAATTATCTCTAAAGAGCTTGGGTATTTGTACAAGTAGCTAAGAAACCAATACATTGAGGAATGCTAGCCAGCATTTTGAAGAGCTGAAGTTGGAAAAAGCAAAGTGTGAATCAATCCTGAAACTGCTTATAATTTAGACAGCAAGGTTTAACTCCCTGTCAGCATCTTTTCTCTTCTTGTAGGCTAACTGCAACTGATATTTTGGCATCATGGATTGGAGTTGTGCTTTAGATTGCAAATGGAATCTGGGTTTAAGCTTGTAGTCCTAGTGTGCTATAGGAAAGATTTGTCATATATGGGATATTTTACAGTAATGTCCTGGTTTAAAACTCTGATCAAACTTCAGTAACATTAAACATGTCCATATGTAATTCAGAATAAACAAGTGATTAATACTGGCAAAGCTTTCATCCCGTATATGCAAAAGATGCTGAATAGAAATTTTTGTTTCTCTTAGTCTCCCAGGCGTGCAGTGTCTGTTTGTTTCCTTCATTCAACATTTGCCTATTGTGCTTACAAGAAAATGAATCTTTCTGCACGTTTTCTAAGGATGTTTCTTCTCCTCTTATTCTGTAACTGTATTTTACTTTTTAAAGTTTTAGCATCCCACTCTGTGAAAGGGTTATTTAAGCCTCATTGCAGTAATTGCTTCTGTTTCAGTGTTTGTTTTTCTTTTATTTCCTCAGAGGCTTAACTTTTTTACCTACTCACTATAATTTATTTTTTATTATTGACTATAAGTAGCTTCCAGTGGCCCTTTGTAAGCCTTTTGGCATGTTAGCTCCAGTTCTGCTTTTTTTCTCCGCAGCTGGTAGGTTTGCTTGCCTTAAGAAACTGTTAAGTTCTCTTATGGAATTCATTCATGGTTGTTCTTTAGTCATGTATTTCTGAACTGAAGCATGTTGGCTTTGCTTTTACAGCGGTGGTTATTTTATATGGGAATGAAAGCCTAGGAATTATTCTTGGAATAGCACAAAGCATGACTCCGAGTTTTACTCATGTCCTGCACATTAGTTTGTACAGATGCAGTATTTCATATTCCCTTTCTTGTCCATCTCACACCATCAGATTTGTGTTTCATGTTGAAACTGGTTATTTGTGGATAGTCAACTTACCTGGAACTTCCTTTTTCTTTAACATACGCAGACAGCTCTGGTAATTGATTTGAAAAATCAAATCTTTCTGTTCTTTATTATGTCCAATTTCTGACAAGGATTTTTGATCAGAGTTTGAAGATCTAATTTTTCATTGCAGCACACTCACAAAAGACTCTTAAAAAAAATCCATTTTTCAGTAGCAGATGAGTAGTATTGTATGTTAGATGCCTCAAGACCCTTTTATGTGACCACAGCTGAGACTTTATTGGCTAGAAGCACACTGTGAAAGAGAGCCCAAGCTTTCTCAAGAGATTCAGATTATTTTATATTTTTAATTTTATATCTGCAGAAGAAACACATAGAATTCTCAAAAATTGCAGAGGACGCATTTAAGTCTCTTACACCTTAATGAAATTTTGGTAATGATCAGTACATAAGAAACCTGGAATCCTACTTGGTCATAAGCTGTATCTAGCATAAGAATGTCTGTAAGGAATCACATCAGAGTCTGCTCAGGCTCGTATCTTGGCTGTGACTGGCCAGTAGCAGATACATAGAGAAAAATTAAAGGAAATAACAGCAATTATAGGATGACAGTTTTTGCAGATGCCATCCCGGCTTCCGCTGTCTGCAGCATGGGTAGGTCCTGAACTAAGAGATTGCATTAGTGTTGTGTTTATTTTTAAAAATATAGCCATGGTTTTGTGGGCAGTATTGGGATAGACATACAGGTAAATAGTCATGCCCTAGTGCTTAACTATAAATGCAAATAAAACTATTTAAGGGGTAAGAGTTTAAATGCTACCATCTTCTTGCTGTCCCAGATGTCTCTTTCTAGATGGTCTGTTAAGATACATGCATTCAGACCATCCATTTCCTAGTTCCTGAACTTCTGCAAATTTTTTTTTGAGATAGATGCTACCCCTTCTTACTTAAAACCTCTCAGAGAAGAAAACCACAAGCGGTTGTAACTGAAGAAACAGAAAGCTGCCTGCTTGTGTAAGCCTCTGTTCCAGTTAGTGCTTTGAGTAGTCCTGTTGCCTGCTACCAGTTTTGTAAACAAATAGTTTATCTGACTAACTGGGAAATGGTGCTTCAGGTATATGTGACAGACTAGCCAGGGATATCTTTGCTGTCTAGTGGATATATGAACTCCAGTAGACCCAGAGCAGTTTTCAAAGCAATAGAAATATATATTCCACTTCAAGTAATGACTTTATCATCAGAAGATTTTAAAAATATATTTATAATTGCAATGTTTAAGGTCTGTAAGGAAAATGAGAATTTAGAAAGTGAAATAATTTATGCTTACTTATAAACCAGCGTATTTGGCTTTAAAAAACCTGTAGAGGGTCAGCTTTGGCTGGCTTTTATTTTTGACCTAGTAAAGAAAAACATCAGTACTACTTTAGAAAGAAGCAAAAAGTTACAGATACCTTTATGTACTCAAGGGCTTGGACAGCTTCTTTGGTTCTCTTCATTTCTATCTGCTCTGTCTTCGCTTTTTTTTTTTTTTTTTTCCTGGAACTTATAAGGAGGACATATTTTTATAACCAGATAAAGAGCTGATAAAACCTTTTTCGCTTCACTAACCTTACACATCCCCATTCTTCAGTTGATATTTCCTAATCAATGCCTAGACCAGAATGTTGTGACGTGTTCCTTATCTCTGCAGGAGCAGGCTGTTTTAACAAGTCCTGTTTTGCATTTACTATAACCTGATAGATTAGGGCAAGGTTGCCCAAATCTACATGAATTACATATGCCAGAAGATACTGGTATATGTGACTAAACAACCATTTGAGAAAACTACCTGTCTTTTAGTGTGTGTTAAGACCCTGTCATACCCTAGAAAAATGGGAGAGGAGTTGGTCAGGTCTATTTTCTAGTTTGATTTCTCAAGGGCAATTTGCAACTTGCATTGGGGGATAATCGTGACAAAGAAGTGACTTTTGCATGAAAATGTTTATGACTACATTCCATAATGTGGGCTGTTTACCATACAAAATAGATCATACCAGGTTTTAAGACAGTCATCATAAAAAATTTAGGGAACCGCTGAAATTTTTTTACATACAGTTGCTACAACAAAAGTCTTATTGCCAATAAAAGAGCAAAGTGAAAAAAATCTAATTTAAAGTTGACATTGACCCTTTAGTTGCTGCAAAATGCTGTGAGACTGGCTGATGAGAGGGGCCATGAAAATATGTATAATTTGAATTAATTTCCACTGAATACAGGATCAATGAATTACATGTATTGGAATTAAAGATTACATTAAGAAAATTGATACTGAACATATGCAATGTGAACATGATAAATAAACACCATTTCTTACAAGGTTAGAAAAATAACTACAATGCTCTAGCTTTGTACACATTCACAACCAAGAAATAGAGCTTTGATGTGCTTCTTTGCAGTTTGTGTTTGATAGACCGTACAGCAGAACATTGGAGGCTGAAGCTGATAAAGTGGGACTTCAGTTTGCAGCAAAGGTAACTACAACTGGTTTGTTTTAGTAGCAATTTACCAGTCATTTTTCAGTTTCTTTTATAAACAGAGGAACTTTCACACTTCATACAGAGGTAAACTGTGTGTGGGAGGGTTCTCAAATTTTTAGAGATAGGTGGTTTAAATCAGTAATGGGAAATAAAACAGTTTGTAGGGA